AATATTACTAAAAATGACTTTCTCGTTTCATTGGGACAGAAAGAAGTTTTCATGAATTCACAGTTTGTGGGTGAAGTAGAGAAAATTTTCACACGTCGGGCACATCCTTGACCTGTAGGTATGAACTCTCAAGAGAGCTTCTCACTTTTAGAGTGCGCTCTATAGAGTTCATATCGAAACGTTCGTGACCATTTGCGCAACTCTGTGCCCTGAAAAAAAATGGAAGACTTTTTTTGACCGTAATCATGTATGAAATGAAGACTGACAGAATGAAAATAGAAAGAACAGAATCATTCGACAACATGAGAAAATTAAAATTCGCCGTTGCAGCGTAGGGGAGACCAGATCTAAAAGTTCCGGGGGTAAGTTGTTCCGATGGTAATATATTGAAAAAAAAAGAATTGCGTTATGCTTTCAATTGTTTCGAAAGCGTGGAGCGATCACACCATACCGTCAGTCAATTTAGTAAGGTCCGTGACAGCGAATTGTGTAGTTTTAGACAAGGCAGTCTTTTTTTTGGTCTAATTTAAGAACATGCTGTAATACCATTTATTAGAATATTTGAATCTATAAATAAAATATTTGTATACATTACCACACACGTCAATTGGGGCTACTTGTCCTCATGACTCGAGGCCAATTAGTTCCTATTGTGGTGCGATGCATATTCTAAATCACGGCCCAGGAAAGAATGGATTTAGTGTTACGCAAGAACTGAGCTTGTACCAAATGCTGTATCATATATAATATTTGTCCAAACTGTGATTCTGTCGAGTCGTTTGACGATATCTGTTTTTTTTTCGCTTAAAATGTTATTTCTATTTGGTTTAAGTGAAGTTGTTCCTAAATTATCACAATATTAGATTATTATTTCCATTTTACTGCATTAATGTTTGTGCCAAAGATAGCATACTTTTTTCTTTCAAAAATATACATATATGTATCTCTGTTAATCCAAAGTTAATAAACAAACTTTATTAATAAAATTGTCCTTTATTTCATCAGAGAAAGTAACATCTTTAGAAAGTAATCTAATCCATCTCATTAGAAAGTAAGTAATTTATTTCTTAGTAACAACTTATCCCAGAGCGTTGAAAACTTATCCCACGACGGGGGAAGAGTTCCGCTTGAGTTGACCATAAAAAAACGAGTTTCTATGAAAAACTTATTGCAATATATTAAATTTGAGACGAGAGAATCTTAAAGTAGGGAACCTTAAAGAATTTAAGAATAAATTAATCAGAAACTGAAAAAGTAACTGTATTATTTTTTGGTCAATTTTTATGTTTTCTCAAAATCGGAACTTCTAGCCTCTGTCTCCCCTGTACACAGTTTCATGGACAATGTGGTACAGTAGAACCTCCTGTTATCCGGTCCTTCAATATCAGAATTCTCTATTATTCAAATACGTCTGTCGTGCAATCAATTCAATCTAAGGTAAACCACATACAAAACTATTTACTGTACATATCGATAAAGATGAAATCTGACACTGTAAATAAGTAATCGTTCTATTATCCGATCATTCGTGTCACTCTACCTAGCCCGGGTAATCGAGGTTCTACTGTACCAATATCTAAAATTAAAAATGAAAAATCACAACATCCATGTTAAAACGATTCCATTTATTGCACAATAGTTTTTATCCAGACTGTCTGAAGAATTTTTCGACACGAATGTTACAAATTAATGACACGAACAGATCTAATTATTTCTTAAATTTCGTTTCGATACAAAGATCTGGGTTAGGTCTGGATTATGTAATTAGGGAAGTATCCAAAAAATTATAAAAAGATCGTTTAGCCGAATCCAACGACTAGAAGAGCTTTAAAACATGTTTGAATGAAAATTGAAAGATGAGTGTGTTACAATTTGTTTGTTTCTGGCGGAATAAGTTCGATAAAATACTTTATCGTATTTCTCATATTTTCACATATTTTCAAATAAATGCACGAAATTTATTGCGAACAATATTAACAATACGTCCCGTTACTTGTATCCGACATACAAAAACAATATTAATATCTATTTCGTGTGCTGAGTGAAATGGAACTGGAACGCTTTAGAGCGAGAATTTTTAGAAACTCTCACACATTAAAATGCTGCGGCTTAATCAAGAGAGCCATACGAAGCGTCGGTTCAAAGGGAATCGTACGCACACGGCAAAGGTGCATCAAAGGCTACGATTAAATCTCTCAGTGACCGATGCACTTTTGTCGAATCGACGGCACCTGTTTGTAAATATCGCAGAATATTACCCATCTCCGACAACATTTTAACGAACACGAGTGTGCATTTCATATAAAATCACATAAACTTATGCCTTTGCTTTCAGAATATAGAAATTGAGTTTCGTATTCCGATTAAGAAATCGAAATTTCTGTATCAAGGAAATACTATTCAGCGATTCCATTTTTTTTCGTATTCTGTGTTACGAAATTGCTGGGATTTATGTTTCCATTTGTAATTCCTGTTATATTCATTCGAGAGGGATGAACATTTAATTTAATATGTACTATTTCTCATTACTATTTCTCATTGTAAGAGACATAAATATATTCGCCTCGGAAAGTAGGTTAACAGCTTTTCAAACGAAATAACTTTATGATGTTAAACCGACTAATTTTCTGTGGAATGAGTATACAAGAAGTTTTTCTAGATTGCAATTGATTACGATGATAAAAAAATTAAAAAATGGACATTTTTCAACTTTTTTATCCGAGCTTATAACAGAAATTTAAAAAATGCATTTTATAGATCTCGGTAACTTATATGCAAGCTGAATATTTCAACGGAATCGGATACTTTTTGAGAATCGAAATCAGATAATTTTTAAATCTTTCAGTGGCTGCAGCTTGATTATGCATCCACCGATTTCAATGAAATTTTGAGCATATATATAAGTTACCGAGATCTACAAAACATATTTTTTTAAATTTTCATTACAGGCTGAAAACGAGAAGTTGAGAAGACCCCGCATTCCCCACGCAATTGACTTTAAATTACCTAAAAATATGAGTAGGAGACGTTCAGTTATAGAGTGACCTACAAAAGTGTTCGTACACTTTTCACAAAACGCAATTTTAGATGATAGATGATAACTAAAATGTCTTTTTGAAAACTTGGGATGACAAAAAAGAAATAAAAAATTCTCGTTTTTTAACTTTTTTATCCGAGGCTATAACAAGTTAAAAAATGCCTTTCGTAAATCTAATTACTACGATACAAAAAGATTATTTGATAAAAACTCAGCCAAAAGTACTAGTACTTTATACAACTTTACGAGAAAAAAAAAAGAAAAAAAGAAAAAATGTTACTTTCAAGCTTTAATAAAAGTTAATTCTCTGCCATAATTGCGTCTTAACTGGTAGCGGCATATACATGTATACGGGGTGTCCCAAAAATGTCTTGCTATACGGAAATGGGGGGTAGTTAAGATGATTTAAAGTAACTTTTTCCTTAGCGAAAATGCAATCTGCGGCTTTGTTTATGAGTTATTAACGAAAATAATAAATTATAAAATAAAATTTTATAACAGAAAGATTCATAATTCTTGAGATAATGATAATATCCTATTCAATATATGTTATATTCATGATAATTCTCTTCTCTAAATAAAAAAGAATTAATATTAACATTTAGTTACTTTATTTAATTTCTTTATTTTCATTTCTTTTTATAATCTTATTTTGTTTAATCATTCTGTGGATAATATAAGCGCTGCTTTCTAGTGTTTATTTATGAAGAATTCGCGACGANTTAAAAAATGCATTTTATAGATCTCGGTAACTTATATGCAAGCTGAATATTTCAACGGAATCGGATACTTTTTGAGAATCGAAATCAGATAATTTTTAAATCTTTCAGTGGCTGCAGCTTGATTATGCATCCACCGATTTCAATGAAATTTTGAGCATATATATAAGTTACCGAGATCTACAAAACATATTTTTTTAAATTTTCATTACAGGCTGAAAACGAGAAGTTGAGAAGACCCCGCATTCCCCACGCAATTGACTTTAAATTACCTAAAAATATGAGTAGGAGACGTTCAGTTATAGAGTGACCTACAAAAGTGTTCGTACACTTTTCACAAAACGCAATTTTAGATGATAGATGATAACTAAAATGTCTTTTTGAAAACTTGGGATGACAAAAAAGAAATAAAAAATTCTCGTTTTTTAACTTTTTTATCCGAGGCTATAACAAGTTAAAAAATGCCTTTCGTAAATCTAATTACTACGATACAAAAAGATTATTTGATAAAAACTCAGCCAAAAGTACTAGTACTTTATACAACTTTACGAGAAAAAAAAAAGAAAAAAAGAAAAAATGTTACTTTCAAGCTTTAATAAAAGTTAATTCTCTGCCATAATTGCGTCTTAACTGGTAGCGGCATATACATGTATACGGGGTGTCCCAAAAATGTCTTGCTATACGGAAATGGGGGGTAGTTAAGATGATTTAAAGTAACTTTTTCCTTAGCGAAAATGCAATCTGCGGCTTTGTTTATGAGTTATTAACGAAAATAATAAATTATAAAATAAAATTTTATAACAGAAAGATTCATAATTCTTGAGATAATGATAATATCCTATTCAATATATGTTATATTCATGATAATTCTCTTCTCTAAATAAAAAAGAATTAATATTAACATTTAGTTACTTTATTTAATTTCTTTATTTTCATTTCTTTTTATAATCTTATTTTGTTTAATCATTCTGTGGATAATATAAGCGCTGCTTTCTAGTGTTTATTTATGAAGAATTCGCGACGAAGAAAAGATATATGTTTGTACCGCGTAACTCGCGCGTTTTCGAAAAAAAGTGGACTTACACCGATTGGCTTCCGAGCCGTTCATTTGTTCTGTTCGAGTTTCCGTAAAATTGTCCTTACGAGAATGTGACGAGTATTACACCGTGAAGCGAACGGGCCGATAAATAAACGAATAAATGAATAAGTATCAGTTTTTGATAGCAGTTTCCTTTGATCCGCAGATATTCCGAAAGCGTCGGAAAACAGTTCAGAGAAGGTAGAGGCACAGGAGACCAAACAAGAGAAAACAGAGGCAAAGGAGCAGGAGTCGAACGGGTCGAAGGAGGAAGAGGAGAACGAAGGCGAAGCCGGGGATAAAGAGAGGGCAGAAGCTGCTACAAGGATACAGGCGGCATTCCGTGGCCACCACGCTAGAAAGAGTATGAAAGAAACTGAATCTTCTGCGAAGCAGACGGGGACCAAATCCAACTCGGAGCCGACCAAAGAACAACTTCAGGCAGAGTTCCGCGCCGACGACAAGGGTAAGTGTCACGTACGAACCCTCGAAATCGTTCCGGAGAGACGCCTCTAATTTTAGAATTCCCTTTCACCCTTCGATTCCCTCGACGTCACTTCGAAAAATGCTTTCGTTTCACGTAAGAAGAAGAAATTGCTGAAGTTCACGAGTAAACGATGTCTGAAACGAATCGTGGCTCGTGTGCTTGATTTTTCTCCGAGTTTCAACTACCTGCGAATTCCGAATACATATCCAGATAAGAACTTGATTGAAAGTTGCAGCTGCAAAGATTCTTATCCGCTTAGCCTGTTCTGTTCAATTGCTTCAATACTTCTTCCTTTCAAGCATAAGCTTTAATTTATCGATGAGGATCAGAGTTTAGCGTATTTTGTTTGTAATAAGATAACAACTGATCGTTTAAAATAGTGGTTTATTTTGAATACTTTATTATTTTCGGTGCATATTTTAATGTACTGTTAACTTTTGTTCTTAAATAAATAACTTCGTAAAAGTTGATTCACCGATTTAACTTATATTGATTTTGCATCTGGGAACATAGTCCCGAACATTTTTGTTAATTATACCTGCCATTGTGATTGCAACGACCAAAATGATTTGAAAACTAAAGTACCCGAACCTTGAATGTTTTGATGTACTTTCTCTTAATATGAAAGAATGAACTGATCGATAATAGGAGCGTAGCCGCGGATAGAGACATTTACCGCGTAAGAAATTAATGTAACAGAAACGGTGATTTAAAATGCAAAAGCTGAACGTGGTAAGTTATTCATCGGACAGTTAATATGCCGAGACAAACAGATAGGAGAAACATTGAATGAACATGTTACAATTAATTATCGAATAATTCGTCTTTATTGCCGGATTGAAGCTGATGGCAAACGTCGCGCGCAGTGTTCGTTACTATTATATATGCAAGATGCTAACATAAATGCATAGAGTTTCTCGTCGCATGCAATAAGCTCGTCAGCTGACATTTTTATTAGCCATGCAAGCCACGATTTCGCAATTCCATGTGCCTCTTATCGGGCCAATTGCGACGGGATTCGAATGTGTACGGTCGTTCCTGCTCCGCACGGAATGACATACCTAACACTATTTCCTTCGTGTTATCGACGTGACATTTATTATTGAGAACTGCTGTTAGACGGAAGTGTTCAACTTGAAGCTCTGATTAATGAATATGAAATATGGGTATAAAAAAATTTACGTGCTGCTGCAAGCTGTGTGTGCTGTTGAACTCTGCGAAAAATATGAAGACGATGAGATTCACTTAATTTCTTTTTCTCGAACAAACTAACGAAAGTCGCGTTTTCTGTGCGCGTGTGAGGAAGGCCAGAGATAAATGCTACTCCCAGCGAAAATAAGTAAATAAGGATTGCACGTCTGAATAGAGAGAGAGAGTATCTCTCTAAGTTTGGAAATGAGTATCGAGCTCGGTGAGATGGTTCTTTATATAATCATTTCGCAAAGGGTCTGTTATTAGGTATGTCGTAGCCCACTATGCCAATAGGCCAAATATCGGATTCATCTTTTGGGCAAAAAGGCGAAGATAAGGTTGAGTCAGTCTGTTTTGGTAATATCTTGTCGTAAAGAGCGATGTAGCATAATAATATCTCGCAAACAGGTTTAAACTTCGATCGGTTCAATTCGACATCTTTATAAGTCCTTCGAAAAACAGAGACGGTACTCTGAAACCTGGTTACCATATTTGGATGCTAAATTCCAGGTTTGGGAAGCGTGGGAAGGTGTGTGGCGGGGCAACGCCCGCTGTCTTGCCTTATGTGGCGGAGTCAGAGACACTCGGCGAAGTAAAGGGTGTTTTGTCGCATTTCTTAGCTACGGATGCGATGCGTATAGTCCTCACGCGACAAGAAGGCACCGTTGTGTTTACATTCCCCCTCTTAATAGCTGCCCCACTGCCACAGCTATCGATCGCTATTGGCCGACGGCGATCGTCGTCACCATTTTTGGCTAATAGCGACTGACATATGTGTCCGTTTGGCAGCTAGTAAGAGGGGGAATCTAAACACAAAGGTGCCTTCTTCTCGTGTGAGGATCATACACGACAGCGACAGGATTCAATCAATGTACCTAATCATAAATTGATTATAGTCGTACAAACGCAGTATTATTCTACGTATCAGACGTTCGAGAGATTAGTAAAACAACTCCCATTACGCATAATTTTCTTAATTACACAAGAAATTTGTAGTAAATAAAACGTAAATTTATCTAAAATAATAGCATTTACAAAACAAATAATGTTTTCAGAAAACTATAATGAAAATAATAATGTTTTCAAACATCGAATGTTTTCAGAAAATAATAAGAACTGTGTTTATCGTGTAAATGAAAAATAGTAATCTCGCAAATAGTAGGTACAACGTCTGTACGGTTTCATTCCCTAATGAGGACAGTTAAAAATGTTAAAAGCTTCTATCATCTTTTGGTTAAACTTTAATCATCGTAATTCTGTGCTTCTTCTTCTTCAATGTCTCACCTCTAATTATGGTAGAAATATACCGTAAATTATTATGACATTCCGATACAGATATCGTGTAAATGTATATATATATATATATATATATTCTTTAACCTATTTTTCACGTTGAAGATTTCTACCACATTCTGCCGGATCTCATATTTCTTTCATACTATTTTTTACTTCCATTGGAAACTATTTCAAGTTTCTACAGAGTAACTATTATTTTAGATTCATTTTCGGGAGTATTTAATATTAACGCTGACTAATTATAAGCAAATACTGAGTCGCTTTACTTCGTTTTTGTGTAGAATCTTTCGTGTTTTCATCATTAACCTTGACCTATCTTATTTTACGTCCCTCTTTTGCCTCGATTATTAGTAAAGTAATGAATCTGAAGAAAATTTAATTACATCGTTGAATTCTCTGAGGGTTTTTAACAGTGACCATATCAGTAATAATTAATACGAAAAAAATCATTGAATAACAATTATTGTTTTCATTCATTGTTGTTTTTAGTTACAAGTAATAGTTATATGTAACTGGAATTTTCTCTTCCTTGTTTATAGTCATAATTCATTGGAACGCTATTCTGGTCGCATGTAACGGTTATCGATGAGGAAAATTTATTTCGGTTACTTATAAACGTCAGAGACGGAAATTCTATGTCAATCGCTCATCGTAGTTATAAATAAAAGAAATTGTATTTCGAACACTTATATATACATGATAGGGTGTTTCAATACAGATCAATACTTCAGAGGGCAAATTTGCACAGCAAAATAAGCGAAAAATGTTCGATTGATCCGAATTCAATGATCCAAGTACCCGAAATCGTATTTAGAGATTCGTGTACATTTTCTTGGTGTGAATACTGGAAATAGTTTTCGTCGAATGCGATACAACTCGCGATTTTATTGACAACATTTATGAACAATTCAAATAAATTTAAAGTGCCAATAATGTCTATTGGTAACCGAAATAAAGTTTCCGTCACTGACAACTATTACGACCGTCCAAAATAGAATTTGCCTCACCGATAACTATGTACGAGAATAACTGAAATAAATTCCTTCCACCGAAAACTATTATAAGTGAGCGAAAAAGAATTTCCATCGTCAGTAATGGTTATTGACAATGTAAAACATCTCACGGTTATTTAAGAGTAAAATTAGTTCCGAAAAATTGATGTTTTAATATTTTTTGAACCATTGAACTGCAATAGCTTCAACTAAATTCACGAAAATATTTGAACTAACCGTTATCTTTGGTCCTTGGTTTTCCACTCGATAAAATTTGAAATTTTGCAACAGTAGTTTTCCAATCGTATAGCTCCAACTACTAGTTTAATCTACGTACGCGAAACATACGTTCGAATAAAATTTGGAAAGCTTTTAATATTCTCGTGAAATTTTTATGTGAATTTTACAACTACCATAACTGGGTAGCCATCGAATGGCTGGAGCAAAACCAGAAAACCTTATGATAACAAAATCGGAGGATACAATCCGGCATTGCAGCACTGAATCCATCATCTAAATCAGGACTCGGAATTAACCAGCACGCAACATGAAGACACTCCTGACTCTTGTCTCGTGTCTTCTTATCTCTCACCTGCATGTCATATAAATGCTACATACACACATATATAAAACAACAGACACATGCGCCTAAGCTGCTCTGTGCCGAAAGAGGTGACCACGAGGAACAAGATGCGCGACGGGTGTAAGGAGGCGTAGCCTTCGCGATCTGAATGTTGCAAGCTGGTTAATTCCGCGAGTCCTGGTTTAAATCGGTAACGTGTAATATTTTCTTTGAGAGCATTATATGTTTTAGTCATTTTTTTAACACTAAGAAGTCCTTTGGATCTCCACGTTTTATTCGTGATGGGAACATTTTCCTGTCGCTAGGATCAGGAATGTAATAAAATAAACAAAAATAATTACTCTGTTATAATTTTATTAATGATAGATCTGCGGTATGAAAAGTATGCTACAAATGGCATACGCGATATATCGAGATATCTGGCGAACGTGTATTTATAATCGGCAATCGCACACAATCGATATCTATACACTCTGGCGTTGATACAGAAGCGATTGCATCATCCATCTGCATGCGCTCCTCCCAGGTCCACCCTCCGCAGATGTACTCGCACCGTCATTAACGCGCTCAGTTTTGTTGCGATCTCGACACCGTTCACCCTTGCGTTCACTCGTTCAAAAGTGGTTTAAAATATCGATGGTTCTTGCTAGAGGCTATTTCCAACCGCATACGATTTCTGTACTTTGACTTTGTTTTTACACGAGTATAGGTCGACATTCTATTATGTTTCCTTAATTCTAAACTTTAACACCATGTTACTTTGCTATAGCCACTCCATATATACTATGTTTGCACTCAATCGATAGATCTTGGCAAGAGCTTTCGATTTAGACCTAAACGAATGCTGTAGCTTCTTCGAGTCAAATATTATAGTACGCTGAACCGAAGTCATTGGACGCGGCGAAACGAGCTCAAAA